TCTCTCTCTCTCTCTCTCTCTCTCTTCTTTTTCTTTTCTTTTCTTTTCTTTTGCTTTCCAGTTGGAGCTGTGTAGTTCTGTGTCCTGTGGTAGTGCCTCCGGGAGCCCACAACTTCTCTCATTTGGGGCCTTTTACCTACATCTGGGCTGAGCTTTGATATTGGCTCCTCCTTTGCCGCAATGACTGTTTAAACACTAAATTACATTCCACAGTGCTGTCACCCTTTACTAGTAGCTAGTGACCCCTTTAGAGTAAACACAGTGTGCACAGTGGAGAAGGGCCTGGGTTGTCTGTGGCCATGAAGATGATAGCACTAGGGCAGGATCACTCTGGATGATGAGCAGACAGAAGTTCTTTATATTTATTTTTTTACACCTCACCACTGTGTGTGTGTGCAAGTGCATGCATGTGTGCATGTGTGTGCACGCACACTTGCATATGCTGGACCATGTGTGCCAAAGCATTCATGTAGAGTTCAGAGTACAACCTTGGATAGTCATCTTTACCACCTTTATTTGCACCAGAATTTCTTTGTTATTAAAGGCCTCTGATGCATCAACATCTGGGGATTCTCCTCGTTGGATGCCTTCACCTTGGATCTCACCATATGAACACTGAGATTGTAGATGCTCTACCCACTGAGCAATCTCCACAGCCTGTAATGGATTTCTTATAGGGGTCAGACATCACACAACTGGGAGTAGCAAAGGTTAGTAAGAGGAAAAGGAAAAGACTTAGTAATAGGGCTATAGAGAGAAGCTGGTAGAGACATGAATGGAAGGCTGTGGCCTGTTTACTTAATCATGGCCTGGAATCTCTGCAGAGCAGAAAATAAACTTAAATCAGAGTAGGCAGAAAGCAAAATCAACTGAACATGACATAGTAAACTATGAGGGTGTGGGAAGAAGCTTCAGCCTGCTCCCGTATCTTCCCATCAGGTCTGAGGACACTGGCCATCTGCAGACAAATGGCCAGGTTTCCCCTGTGCTTGGCCTTGGAGAAGTTCTAAAAATAGATCTGGCCAAATATTGTGCTCCCTACTACCTATGAGGGGACCCAGTTGTCAACAGCATGATGTCTAAGCCATGGTGATGTCAAGAGCCTGGGCTGCAGTTTTACCTTCATGTCCTTATTTTTCCCATGAGGTTGCCACCCCTGCAGCTCCTCGGGGTTGATGTTTGGGGCTTTTTTCTTAGTTCAGTCAGTGACCAAACACTTGAGCTGTTCTTCAAAAGTGAATCCTGTATTTGTTTGTTTCTTTTCTATCTCTCCCATCCTAGCCTAACCTGATGTTATTCTTAGATACTGAGAGTCTCCCAATAATTTCATTACAGACCTTGCTTATACTTGTCCATCTTCCTTGTGTGTTGCTTTATATCATATTAGAGAAATTGATCACTTTCCAAGATGAAAAGAAGATGATAGATTATTTTTATTTACTTTTTTGAAGGAAAGGAAATAAGCAGCCAAAGATCCTGAGGTCACGAGGGTTGAGGTCTATCAACCCAGACTCCTTTAACTGATCCCACACTTTCTACCATTATAGCCCATCCCTGAAAACTCAGCTTCTCAGGGCCTTCCATCATATCCCTGAAGGGTATCAGTGCATCTGTGTATAAGGGTATATCTACACTGGAGACTATAATGTGCTCTGGAGCCCTCCTTCACATAAAGGTACATTGAAACTCTGCATACCATGTATGGTAAGTGTTAGTGCAGGTATGGTGAGGGAGTGCTTCCTCCCTGAGGGCTTATTTCCCATTCCTCTCTACCCCAGCCATAGCACAGAACACATGTAACCCCTCCCCCTCTACTTGATCTCAACCTTTTGACCTCTGAGGCTTCATGAACATTTCCTCTATGCATCCACTCAAATTCGTAAAAGGCCTCTGTTTGTATGAGTCATTAATGTATGTCAAATGTAGAGAAATGCAGTCTGGGATTTAAAGAGACAGAGTTCGAAACCAGAAACTCTGGGTTCTAATCCCAGCTCAGTTGTTTCTCCTCTATGAAATGGGCACAGTAATGCCTGTGGTGTCTGTTGGAGAGAACTGGTGCATGCCAGCTGAGCCAATAGTGCTTTGGATGCTACTGCTACAGAGCACAGGGTTACTGTGAATGACTCAGTCTTTGACAGCTTGTATTGACTGACAACTTGTATTGCTTCTGTTCATTCCTTTTGCTTTATTAATTGGAGCACAGCTACTAGATCATTGTTCTTGCAACATATCTTGTGTTTTTTCTTTCTGTCCTTTTTTTTATGTGATTACCTTATAATTCTGCTTATAAACCATGCCAGGCTACATTCAGATTGTGAAGGGAGCTGGGGAAAGACTTTTAAACGAAGGAAGGAGCCCAGAGTCAGCTCAAAGTGGGCAGGCAAAGGACCCAGTAAC